TTTATTGCATAGTTGTTATCCACTTAGGTTTATTGAGAGCCTCACTAACAATCTTAGGTATATACATAGAGTTTAAGGAAGAAAGGAAGGGATGGTAGGAGGGAGATATGCCACTATAGGAAAGATGGTGTAAAATGCAATGGGCTATACACTTTCTCTTTCCCTTGCGGAGTGCAATGGGGTGATCAAGATTAGATGCAACATCAGTGTTAGGTACAAGAACATCATCAATGGGATAAAAAACAATAGCAAGCTCAACGGGAATACTTGGAATTGTATAAACCGAACCTGGAATCTCAAATAATCCAATGAAGAGTGGTGTGGATCTCCTTGTTGGAGCATGTGTGGAATCAACCCTCCTGCTATGGCGCTAAAAAACTATGAGGTAGGTCGTAATGGGTCAGGTAGTGACATTGAAGGGGCTGATGGTGGAGCAATAGATGGAACTGATGGTGTAGCTAGTGGAACAAAGGAAGGAACAAGAAGACTAAAAGAGGAATAGGTTGTGAGCTCTCTTCCCCAAAACACTCCCCCTGAGGAGAACCACCGAAGAAAAAATATGTATAACCAAAGAAGGTAATTTCCATAGTGACAAATTTGCTCCCTAACACTAGATTATAACAACAATATCCCTTCCGCTTTTGAGCATACCCAAGGAAGACACATTTCTTTGCCTTAGGGTCGAATTGTCTATGATGAGAACCAAGAATGTGAATAAAACAAACACATTCAAAAACTCTCAAAGGTATGTGAAATATCTCCCCCCTCTAGAAACAAAAGATTGTATGGCACTTTAAACCCAATAATGCGTGAAGGTACACGGTTGATCAAGTAAACAGTCGTGAGAACTGCATCACCCCAAAACAAAATAGGAATTGAAGCACACACCATAGGACTTCTTGCCACCTCCACAATGTGTCTATTTTTCCCCTTTGTTACCCCATCCTGCTGTAGTATATAAACACAATTGCTTTGATGAATCACCCCATACTCCAATAAATTTGTGGCTAAATCCTTCTCAAAGTACTCTCTAGCATTTTCTGATTTGAAAATCTTAGTCCTCATTCCAAACTATGTGAGAACCATTTGATGGAACTGTTGTACCAAAGTAGGTATTTCATCACGCAGTCTCATCAACTATCCAAGAATATCTAGTCATCCACAAACAAAAGCAAATAGCGGTAGCCACCCATGGAAGAAATATGATCTGGTCCCCATACATCTGTGTGAATAATATCAAATGCAGAAGAACTTCTTTTATTACTTGATTTAAAATAATACCTACATTGCTTTCCCAATTCACAACTTTTACACTCCAGACTGGATAACTGAACTGACCCAAATAATTTTTTTTTGATAAATGAGTGAAATTTTATTAAACTAGCAATAAGAGTTACATGCAACCTGTGGAAAGGTACGAGATGCGGCCTTTCCTTTAAAGCTAATTACCCCTTGTTTTGCAAGTGAATCAGCCAATGAGTTTTCTGATCTACCTACCATTGAACTCTGATTGTCATATTCCTTGTTAACCATTTAACCTTTTTGAGAAAATCTCTAAAACCCCAAATCACAGTGTTTGGATCCTTCAACCAACCCACTATCACCTAGGAATCCCCTTCATAATCAGATGCTCTATGCCTAGCTGATTTGCAAGCTGGATTTCTTGTACAACAGCAAGTAATTCGACCCTTAAAGAGTCTCCCACACCCACAGGACCTGAGTACAAAGATATAACATTACTATCTTTGTTTCTCAGCACTCCTATGCTTGAAGGTCTTGGATTTCCTCAGCTACTTCCACCAAAGTTCAGCTTGATAAACTCCTCCCCTGGTGGCATCCATTCAACCCCATGTTTGTCCTTCCTGGTAGAAGTATTAGTCACTGCTAACCAGCTTCTCCATAGGTCATCAAAAGAGTATGCATCAAAGATCTTTAGAGTTTTTAGCCACTAAATTGCCCTTGTCAAAATACATTCTTTAACTTCTGAGAAACTCCTTTCTTTTTCACAAAAGATTTTGGTGTTCCTTTCTTCCCAAACTGTCCACAGCAAAGCTGCTCTTATTCACTTCCACATAATTCTCCCTCTCTTTGTGTGCCATTCAAAAATAGACGAACTAAACAACAAGCTAGTATCAGATGGCAGGTTCCACCTACACTCAAACAACGTAAGAATCCAATTCCATAAAGCTGTAGCAAAGGAGCAAGAGATTAGTAAGTGGTGACAGTCTTCATTCTGAGATTTACAAAGAACACACCAATTTGGTCTTCTCTTTTGTAGGTTTTAAAAGGTGTTAATCTTACCATAATAAACTTCCCAACAAACATCACAAAGAACTGAAAGAAATATGACCCAAACAATTATGCCATAGCATAATCTTACTCATTGACTCTGACCCATTATTGCTATTATTAACATGATGACTCTGGTAACTCAAAAGTGCATCTAGAAGGTAGACTCCACTCATCTCACAACCACTCCCAATCGTTCTCCTTGATTCCAGTTCCTGTAAAACACAATTACTAGGAAGAAAGGTCACTGAACAGTTCAATTTTTTTGTCAAACTACTCACATAAAGGAGATTAGTGTAAAGTCTAGGAACATGTAAAACAAAGGACAAAGTAATGCCATTAGTCACCCTAACCGTTCCTTTCCCAGCAATGGGAACATGGGAACAATCTGCTCTACATACTCTATCTCTACTAGAACACAATTGGTAAAAAGTAAAAATGGGTAGACATATTGGTCATATGCTTAGATGCTCTTGAGTTTCAAATCCAGGGAGCAGGGAGGTCCCTCCTTACCTAAGGTGGATGCATAATTTGTAGTGGCATATGAACCACCTATATGAAAAAAAGAAGCAGTGTGACTAGCCCTAGAACTTCTTGCATTTTGTTGTTCACTTGAAGAGGAACTAGAGCCAATTGAATCCTTCTTACTTATAAGTTGCCCATGCTTCTCCATTTCTGTCCTCATTGCTGTTACTACAATGGACCCCAAGCCAATTGAATAAGAGGTCCTGATGAGTCTCCAATAACTGCCATATTGGCATTTCCTTTCTTGTTCCTAACCCGGGCTGGTATAAGATGTGGATGGAGCTTCTAGAAGGTGTCTCTGGTATGCTTAGGCTTCTTTTAATCACAGACCTGGTCTTTCTTGTCTTCCCTCTTAATCTCACTACTCGCCCTATCTCCATTGGGCTTAGATTTGACTATACTAACCATAGTCGATTGGTCAATCCTAGACTATCTCATCATAACATTCCTTCTAGTTTTCTATCTAGACACAAAGGCATATGCTTGAGAAAGAGTCACACTTTCTCTAGAAATGATGTAATATTTGGCAATATCAAATTTAGGGTTTAGCCCAACCAAGAACTCAAAAACCCTATTCTTCTCTACCAATTTCTGATTGGTTGTTGCATCCTTATTACTCTCCTAAACAATAGTCTCTAAGTGGTTTATCTCCTGCCAAAGTGTTTTCAACATAGAAAAATACATGACAAGAGGTCTATCTCCTTGTTTTGTATTAATCACCTGGTTCTTCAGGTGATAGTCTCTGGCTACATTTGTTTTTAGGAATAGGTCTCAGTTACTCTATCCCAAATTTCCTTTACAGTATTAACCAACAAAAAAAATTTACCAATGTGAGGTAACATAGAATTACATAGCCAAGACATCACCGTGTAATTCTCCTGCACCCATCGGGAAGAATTTATATCCAGCTTCTCCCCAGTAATTTACCCTAGTTTTCCACGAGCACCAATAGTCATCTTGGTTGATTTCACCCATTCTAAATAGTTTGTACCATCCACTTTAACTATGGTAATAATTCCAGACCCAAAAGGATCACTGACACTTCTTAAACCCAAGCCTAGGTCACTGACTGACTTTTGCTCAGCACTACAACCCTCCATGTCAACTCAATCAGCTTAAAATAACAAAAGGATCAGGTAGAAACACTCCAAGATCAGATCAAGCTCACAAAAAGAGGTGGAGAGCTTTTTCTGGTAGAAGAAAATCCTACCCGGAGAGAAATCACCCTTCCTGAGAACTGAGAGAAGGAGAACAGGGTGTTGATCTCTCCAAGAGGCTCAAAAAATCCTAGAAACTGAACCACCTATTAAAAACTCCAAGATATCTAGAAAAATCTAAGTGCCAACACTAGACCAAAAACAAAGAGTCCAACTTGACTAGGACTCTTCCCTGCACTCCATTTCTTCGTGATTTTGATGTCGAACCACAAATCACCTTCTTGATGACTGAAATCCACCAAAAAAATCCAAGAACTAGGCAATCTAAAGCAGATTGAGCAGCCCTCTCATGCAGTCGGCTGATCTAGGACTGCATGAATCAGCCCTAAGGAAGCCTAACTAGGCTATAATACCAAGTAGAAATCTGCAGAAAGAAAATTATAGAGAGAAGAGAGAGATGAAGAGTTCTTGTGAGAGAAGAGGAGAAGAATAGAAAGAATAAAGAAAGGAAGAGAAGGCAATCTGATCTGGCCACCCTCTTCCATTGGTATCTATACTATTAAGTAAAAAATATGTACACAATGACAGATAGGGCGGCTGATACAAACAACTTAAAAGAAACATAAAAGAACACTATTCTAACAACTAAATAATGGGCTGTGGTCCCAACTTACTAGCTAAATTATAGTCATAGATTAAATAACTAGGGCCTGTGACTTTACATAAATGGGAGTTTACTTATCCTATAAACAAAAACAACACATTCCTTTTGATAAATTTTCTAGGCAGAAGTAGTTACCTCCTTTCAAGTCTTGTTTCAACTTCTTTGCAAATATTGATTGGCAAGAGTTGACCATTGCATAGGAAGGTTTAAGTACTTGTATGCAGGTAGCCTGGTGCAGTATGAATGCTTTCATGAATTGACTGCAGTAGTTCCATCTTCAACTATCCATTAGTTATAGAAAGAGTTTAATGCTTTAGAACAGAGTTATAAATCTAACTTCTAAATCTCTTTTCTCTCTTTTGAAGTGGATAAAGTCGAAACTCTGAAACGCTACAAATTTAGTTTGGCTTTTGAGAATTCCAATGAGGAGGATTATGTCACGGAGAAGTTTTTCCAGTCTCTTGTTGCTGGTATGACAATTAAACATTCCATTTAAATAAAAAAGAAAAAGAAATTTTACTGCTGAGACATCTTTAGATTTTGGATGGCCCAAGTGCTTATATTGAAAATACTGGAATTTGAAATAATTTTTAATCTTTTTTATTTTTTTTATGAATTAGTGTCTGGTTTAAATCTTCTTGAAGATATATTCATCATATCTGGTATACTTATTTGGATAATTCCCATAACATTTGTTTTAAAACTACCTGTAGGAGCTATCCCTGTAGTTGTTGGTGCCCCAAATATCCAAGAGTTTGCTCCTTCTACTGGTTCAGTTTTACATATTAAGGAACTAAGTGATATTCCTTCTATTGCTAAGGCTATGAAATACCTGGCAGAAAATCCCGATGCATATAATCAGTCACTAAGGTAATGAACCTTCTTGTCTTCTATGGAAAATGACAAGTCTTATTTTGGTTGTTATATTTGGGGAATGCTGATCATATTGTCTTTCTTGTACCAAGCCATTTCTTGTTCTCTTTCATTATAATTCGTTTCATGGGTATTGTGTTTTACAAGGCCTGTTCATTGTGTAGGTGGAAGTATGAAGGTCCATCTGATTCCTTCAAGGCCCTGGTGGATATGGCGGCAGTGCACTCATCCTGCCGTCTTTGCATTTACCTAGCATCAAAGATCCGAGAGAGTGAGGAAAGGAATCCAGGATTTCAGAAGCGTCCCTGTAAGTGCACCAGAGGCCTTGAAACAATTTATCATATATATGTAAGAGAAAGAGGGAGGTTCGAGATGGATTCCATTTTCTTAAGGTAATATCATGACAATGCTGGTGAAGGATCTTTTTTAGTTATTTTTATCTTAATGTTCAAGTCACGAATGGTTTTTTATTGACATTGGTTAACCAGCTTGGGTTTGAAGAATTTTTGGATAGCCATTTCAGTCTCCATGGTGTTATACTAGATTTTATTGTATATGCTCCATTCTCAATTCCCCACTAATCTTACATTCTGGGCAATGGAAGAATAGTGATTTTCCAGATGATAATGTTATACAGAAACTGAGTAAATGAGTGTCATGAATAGTCGGGTTGCCCGACTTAACCACATGGGCTTGGGTTAGGGTTCAGGCCCATTGATAATTTATCAAATTTCCAACCCAACCCAAGTTGCACCCCTACATGATTATCTCTTGAAGCTCACGACGGTCTTCACAATTAACACAATTTGACTAACCCATTTTGTTTGGCCTTCTGGCACTTTGCTCGCAACTCCTGTGTTGTTAGAATTGCCATAGTCCATTTTATACTGCATTATGAAATTTTAAGTTTTTGAATGGTATTTATCATGGCTTGGGTGTGCAGGTCGGTCAATTTGACTCTGAATGCATTGGAATCAGCGGTTCTTGCAAAATTTAAGTCTTCGAATCATGTTCCAATCTGGAAGAAGCAAAGACCCGAGAGCATTAAAGGGGATGAACTTAAAATTTACAGAATATATCCTGTTGGGATGACCCAAAGGCAAGCTCTGTACACCTTCAAATTCAACGGAGACTCTGATCTTAGGAAGTATGTGGAAAGTCATCCATGCCCAAAATTCGAAGTCATATTTGTCTGAAGAGAATCCTAATTGGCTGGCTTCATTATGTTTCCTCGCTGTACTACTATTTGAGAAACCTCTCACTACTTGGAGGAAAATTTTGCAGGCTATAAGGTAATAAATTGGAATTGGTGCTCTTTTGCTTCTTTCTGCCTCTTTGTAATCTGTTTTCATAACGCTTCCATATCTAGTGAAGAAAATTACAAACAACTGCCACGGAATGATATTTTACAGTGTTAGATTACGAATGAAATGGGTTTATACTGTGTCCTAAGCATTATAAGCTAATTATCTAAAAAAATCTTTGAAGACAAATATTTCATTGAATTATTAAGAAATACTTTTGGGGATTAATATGTTTGTTTCGAGTTCAACTTTGGTGCATTCACTAATATTGGCTGTAACCTGTAGGTAAAATTTAGATCTCAACTAATTACATTGAAGTGTGCATACTTTTTATTGGTTTGCATTCCACAATGTGTACTTTTATTAGGGGTGCAAGTGCAACATGGCCGATCTCTTGTTGGGGTTATGTCAAAATTTGAATGGGCCCAGCCGGGAAACCCGGGCCTGATGTGAATTCGGATTTGGTCCTCACGGAACTGTCCTCACACTGCCCTCAGTCTATTGCAGCTGTACATTTGGAACATCTTTGTATTTGTATGTTTTTATTCATGGGGAGATATTATTATCAATGCACGGCTGAAGGGCAGTGTAAAATCTTAAAGGGTATTGGGTATCCGACTTTCACCCCTAACTTTTATGTTTAACAACGCGCATTTACCATTAAGTTCAACCAATTATTTCTTTTGCAAATTATCCTCATTTCTACATTTAAAAAAGCATCGTTACTTGATCATTTGCTCAAAGGGAGTTAGCATATTTCTGCCCTGGAAGTCGTAATAGTAAACTGAACAGGTGGTGTTAAGTCGTGGTCGAGTATTTGGATTGAATCAGGCTGGATTTTAGACTGTTTGGTTGCTTCAAATGATCAATTCCATGACTATCAAAAGCATAAAAAGAGACAATTCAGAATGATCGATGTGAATAAGGAGAAAAAAAAAGGAGACAATTGAATGGACAATAGCCTCACATATAGAAACTGGCATGACTGATAATTGCCAATTATAAGCTCAAGATAATGGATGACAGCTGAGGATGTTCTAAGTCGACAACGACAACCATTGAATGTACAGACGGATATGAACTTGGTACAAATCCTACAGCCATCAGGACCTTATTCGCCCGCTTTTCTTTTCTCTTCTTTTTTTATTGTATGAAGAATACTCGCACGCGATTGAACTAAAAAGAAAGTTGGAAAAGAACATCAAGGGGTGAGGGGGAGATGAAGTCTTCAAAACGGACAAGTTTTGAGCCCTATCTTTCACTAGAGGCTCTTCTCAAAGGTCAAAAGCTCATTTTATGAATGAGTTGTGAGCTTTTTTTTTTTTTGACATTATAGAATGCAGCAATAAATCAATTACAACTATGTTTCTCATTTTAAGCTCAATCAAAATCAGTTTATTAGAGTCATTGCTTGGTGTAATGGTATAATCTTGAGCTGTAAGTGCGAGAAGTGGAAATGTGGGTTGGAGTCTGAGAGTGGCCACTTTTTCTGAACAGATGCCAAAGTTTAAAATTGTGTCCAGTCTACCCCTTTCAAAACCCCAGACAGCTGGGGCCTATAGAATTGTATCCAGTTGGAGGGCATTCATGGCATTTAAAAAAGGAATAATAAAGTTTTAAAGGTTAAAAGAGTTTCCATTTCTCTTTTTTAACCTTCTTAAAACTTTTATAGTGACAACAATATCTTTGGGGATTTTGTTCTGTCCTGCTTATCTACATTGTAAATTCTTGGTTTTGATTATAAATTAATGACTACCCCGTTCTTAGTATGTGCCACTATATTGACATACTTTGTTTGAAACCCATTGTTTATATAATAAATTTAAAGTTAGGTTTTTAACTGATTTAATAGATTAAACTAGGTTTTAATTATATTTTAATAATTTTTGTGTGTTGGGGGGGGGGGGGTATACGTATTTTACTAAAGTTTAATTAGAAATGTTGTTCATTATTAATATGGGTCCTACATTTGAAATTAGTATATTTCGAGATTGGAGGGTGACTGTTCCAACGTTTTTGAAAGTGAAAATAACCACCCTTAGAAATTCTTTTTTCTTGAGGAAATGGATAGATCATGTATCTAAAGTAAAGTGATTTTGTTTGAGAGTGGAAAATAATAGCTTGATAGGGGGGTTGCGAAGCAATATGATGACAAGAAGAGAGAATAAGCTGATGTGGACAACTGCATTTTGTTTCCGGAAGTTATTTATTCGTGTAAATGCAATTATTTGGGTAAGTTTTTCTTGGGAAACACTTATTTGGGTAGATGCATTTACCCATGTTCTTTAGTCATAGAAATCTATTATTAAAAGGGGCATTTTTATCCCATTCAAGTGTTAATAACTTTTCTCCTATGTGAGAAAGTTATTTACCCACCTAGGAGATGGGTATCACTTTCCTAGGTAAGTAGTACCCAGAAAAATAAATTTTCCTTGATCCCCATAAAGCTAAAAAAATGAACATGAAATTTTTGGTTTCCCCCTCTCAAAATCCAAAAAAAGAATACCCCCTCAAAATCTAAAGTCTAAACTACTACTAGTGGAGCTTGCACTTATATATACTCTTTCAAATCAAGCCTATTAAGTAACCCGGCTGTGATGTGTTACAAAGAATCTGGATTCCTTGATTCCTTCTCCCCATGCAGCATCCCCGAAGGGTCAATGGGCCTGACCTATATATACTCTTTCAAAGCAGCACTAGTGCTTACGAATTCGGCTTCAGTCAATGCAAGGCCCGTTCGAACGGCCTTTATGGCCATGTATTGAGAATATCTTCCCATAAAATAAAATACATATATACGGAAATATTCTCAGGCTGTTTAAAGTTCGAACGGGCCTTGCACTGAATGAAGCCGATCTCAGTTCTTACTGATTACTAAGTACTTAGTGGGTCTCTCTGTGGTTAGTCTATGAATCACCCCCTCTACACCACTTATGAGTACTGTTTGTCGCACTCTGCTCTACGGGGAACCTTACATCCTCCCGCAACAACGTGGAAGACTCGGGCGTCAGTTCAGCATTTAAGTTATAGAATGAATTACATCCATGGAAGGCAAACGTGCATCCATTCCATTTCCATGTTGACTCTACATCAACCCAATCATCATCATCCGTATAATACGAAACAAGTCTAAACCTTGTGGGACCCGACCCGGATCTTCTCCGATCGAGTACGGTCCAATTTGATGATAGATTCCCGTGTACCAGAATTCCACCCAATAAAATAATGTAAAATATGATTCATGCTCTATCTGGATCTTAAGGGCCGAGACCCACCCACATGCCCTAGCGTTATTGGCCCAGGAATGATCTTTTTCATTGATACGATATCCGACGCCTACCCGCACTAATACTTATCTCTCCCTCTCTCTCAATCAATCAATGGCGTCGAGGATTTGGTTTTTGTTTGAAATAGATCCGGGCTCATGATATGCGCTACACTTCGTGAGTTCAGATTGCCACCCCACACGTGCCTCATATGTACATCTCACTATGTTTTTAATACACAGTTGAGATGTCTTGTGGGGTGCACTTTATAAGGCGCCAATATAAATTTTCATTCTCACACCATCATTATAATACGGGATCTGTTCCTCAGTTTTGCGCCCCTCACATGCACATCTCCAATGCATTGGGAATACCTCCCATAAATAATAATTTAAAGGTGCGGAAGATGTTCCTAATGCATGGTAGAATGTGTGTGTGAGGCACTTGTGAGGCGTCGTCATCTATGAGGAGCAGATCCGATCTCTCTTGGAATTATACATTGAAAACATCTTCCATAAAATATTCAAGTAGAGAGATATTTTCAACGCAAAAAGGTTGTGTAGGTGGAGTGAATACAAATTTTGTGAGAAGGAAATCGGATTTCCACTCCACATCCTCGTTTTTAACTGTTCTGTGAGTGGCGTATACAGTGTAATACTAATAATGTTCTCCCACCAACACTAACGTAGCAACAGCAACACAGAGCACACAGGGAGCAGTGAGCACAGCCCAGAATAACACTCGAGTCGAGCGCGACTCAACCTCACTCGACTAGCCCAGATCTTTGACTAAAACCAACAATCATGCAACTTTGCACCGTACACCACTATATGGATTTGGAATATTGTGTCATGTCAAATGGGCCCACCCCAATTTTCAATTTTCAAGTTCAACCCATTTGTAAAGGCTGGGCTCTCGCTCTCCATTCTCCAACCCCATCCAGATTGAATGTTGGGCTTGGGCTGGGTTCATCAATGTTCCACGTGTTGTGTTCGACAATTCAACCCATATCTGCAACTGCAACTGCAAGCCAGAGGAGGTTCAGACTTTCTTCAGTTTAAGAAAAAAAACAAAAGGCAAAAGTGATTTTGTATCAAATCTGTCTTGTTTAATTACGTGGCATCATCCCCTGATACTCTGGCATTCAAAATTTCTTATCCCCCCATACCACTGCTCCAGTCTCCTATCAGTGCAAGTGTTCCATCTAGCAAATCTACAGCTTCAATCCAATTATCCAAACCGTTTTGAGTGGTTCAAGAACAAAAGAAGAAGCAAAGAGAGGGGTTGAGTAAAACAGAGATGTTCTAGATGAAACCTATGGGATGGATGGTGAATCCTGCCATCTATCAAGCTGTGTGGCTAGTTGGCTTCGCCTCCTTTCTTGGACTATGATGATGGTTAGGACTTTTGAAACCATCCTTTTGTCTTCGTACTAGTAGAGGCTCAATATTGAGGGTGTCATAAGCCAAATCGGATTTTCTGTGTCACATTTGCCCCTATAGTACAGTCGGTTGATTGCAAATCGATTACTAAGATAAAATAACCTATAGGAGACTGGTAGATGTGTACTCACTTACCAGACCTCCGTGAACCACTTAGGGATGATGCACGGTAAAGAAATAAACAGAACAATGAATTTGTTGGTGTAACACTGGGTTGACCACCAATCTATTTATAGAGTGTTGTCAGTCACCTGAACAGACATAGATGTGTTTTTATAGAGAGAAGTGTCTCTCTAGAATAGTGCAACAGTCCACCTGTTCGAAGAGACATGGAGACACAAAAAGAATAGGAAGAAGAAGATAAAAACGTTTCCAACTAACTTTGAAATTCAAAAGTCAAAACAGTTTAAACCGATCAAAGGCAAAAACGATCTGGTGTAGCACAT